CTTCACATAAAATTCACCTGAATATAATTTACACTCTCCCTTATTACAGTTCTTTCCAGTACCAAAGCAAATCCATCAATAAAATATTGCTCCCTTTTTATATTCTCTATTCTTTCGTGTTCCCATTCTCTGATGTTTTCCAAGCTGGAAATATGCTCGGTTGTGCCCTCTCTGGCATGCCCCACTTAGAGCTGTCTCTGTACCACTGTGGCTCCTAGCGTCATTACTTACTTCCTTGGTGATCCTCTGCTACTGAGCTTTCTGTATGTTATTTGGGTCTCCATGAAAATACAGTCCATCAAACTCTGTAACTTTCTTTCTGACCTCATCTTGCCTACAGAACAATTTTCAATCTTTTGATAAGTCCCCAAAACCTTAACAGTTGGCCCAGCCTTCCTTACAATTACTGATGTCTCATACATACACGAATGAATATTTTTTAGATCGGTATAGATCCTGATAAAGAAAACAAACTTATTTCAAAGCTTTACTAAATTCATATGGATTTCATTCAAGTGTTTTGCAATCAATGGAATAAAAGAAAACATATTTATTATCCTGTGGAGCTGTAACTTTTTGACACTAAAAAAGGAATTTTAATACTTTAAAACTTGGTACCCAGCTATGTGTGCACGTGCATGTATTATACCATTCAGTTTTAATTGTAAGGATAGTTAACATGAGATTTACCCTCTTAGCAGATTTTAAATTTACAATATGGTATTGTAATCTGAAGGGACAATGTCATGTAGCAATCTCTAGCATCTATTCATCTTGCATTTTTATACCCATTGAATTTTATACCCATTGACTTGAGCAATTCCTCACTTCTCCTCCCTCAAGCCCCTAGCAACCATTATTCTCTTTTCTTCTATTCTATTCTACTCTACTCTACTCTATTCTATTTTATTCTATGAATTTAACTATTTTAAATACTTCATGTAAGTATAACCATGCCATATTTGTTCTTTTGTGACTGCTTTTTATCACTTACCATAATGTTCTTTCATAGTTTTATATTTTCTTATATCCTCTTTCAATTTGTAGCCCTTATTTACATGCTAAGTAACTTCTAAAGGCGGGGTAATTCCATGCACATGAACTTTGAAAGCAAAAGTATATCTGGGTTGAAAAATAAGTTGGTCTTATATCGGAGTGAGCTTATGTGTATATGGTCTGAGTAGTAGAAAGGACATTAGTGCAGGGCCTGTATAAATAAATGTTATACTCCATTCCCAATAATCCAGTTAAAACAATGCCAGCTCCTTTGGTAAGCTTCCATAGGGAATTGAAGTAAAGTCACTTCAGTTTTAGTACAGTAAAATTTATAGTACAATTTAGATTTCCATTGCAACTTATGATTTAAAAGAAGTACGGAAACAGTTCTCCACACTGACAGAACCACTGGCTTTTCAGGCGGCTTCACAGGAGCACTGGATGCTGCAGGACCAGAATGCGGTGATTAGAGGGTATGGACCAGACACAGAGCACTAAAAGCACATTGGGAAACTGCATGACATTGAATGAGTCACCTCTGAGATTCAGTTTCTTCATAACCGGAAGAGCTGCTACATTTTGGAACACGATGATGACTTCAAATGAAATTAAGTGATCCTTGTGAGTATTAATGTATTTTTCCTTTACCTATTACTACGACTAAAAGTACCCCATTTCCAAAGTCATCATGTACATTTACAGCTTCAAATTCGCTGTCTGCAAAGATCCTTTCACTTTACTTAGTTTACAAATGTGGAAATAAAAAGAGGTCATATACTTTACCTGTCATTATGCCATGAAATGATAGTGTGTGGAATAATCACACAGGCAAATAAAGAAGGTTTTCAAAGATTGCTAAAAATGAGCAGGTCAGCAAAGTAACAGCAAACGAACAAAATCATGGATATACTTCTGGGAAATTGTGAGTTAAAATATTGATAGATGTTGGCAAAGGAATTGATAGACTTCCCACTGAAAAACCACAGTAGAGATGATTGATTTTCTCATACTTCTCCACTACAATGGTCTGAATAACAAAGCCCAGATGAAGGTAAGAAGGATGTTAAATGGCAGCCCTGTTCACCTCTTTCTCTATTCTGGTCAATCTTGATTCAGCCCAGCCTTACACTTCAAAAGCAAGGTCTCCAGTGTCATTCACCAAGGCAAGTTTAGTTTCCAAAGTACTCCCTATCCCTTAACTAAATAGGTGAAGAGAAGGGAAGCTCTAAAGAAAGGGAAGCACTCTTATTGCTTATTGTAAAAGATTCGGGTTATCTACACCTTGGGTTCTGAAACCCCATCTGCTTGCTGTATGAGTAGATGTTATCTAGCATTCCATTGTAGTCATATTTGCAAGAGAGACATATTCATTCATTTATTTATTTATTTTCTTTTTGAGACAGGGTCTCACTATGCAGTTCAGGCTGGACTTGAGCTCACTTTGTAGCCCAGGCTGGTCTCGAACTTGCAACAATCCTCCTGCCTCAGCCTCCCAAGCGCTGGGATTACAGGCGTGCACCACCATTCCCGGCAAGAGAAACATATTTAATGCAGGACATAGAAATTTACAAAATTAGCTGACACTATCCACACACAGAGTCAAATGTAGAAGACTGCAAGAGATCTGTCTTTGTGTGAGAGATCCAAAGAGTCCAGCCAAAGGTCTGCAGCCCACAGCAATGTCCCATGCAAGTCCCTATCAGGAGGCCAAGGAATCTTTGATGGAAGACAGAAGAGTTGCACTGGAAAACCTAAAAGCCATTGCTAGAAACTGAAGAGTCTGTGCTGAGAACCAAGAGATGATGCTCAAGGCAAAGGCAAAACCAGAACTTCTCCCAAGAGAACAGCCACCATCCTTGGTGTAGGAAAAGGCTGGAGCTCAGCTGAAAAAGAGGACAGCTGAAGCCCCTCTGAAGAAAAGCAGCTGTAACAAAACTCTTTCAAGAAAGATCAGCATGAAATCCTTCCCATTCTCCTTTTACGCTGCTCAGACAGCAAGCCTCCCTAAGTGGGTCCTCCACACCCGAAACCATGTGGGCTCAATTCAGCTGGGCGTTCCCAACTCAAATTGACGATGGGTCAATTAGCCACCACACCTTCTTTGTATTACCCTATGGGAATTAGGGCCCTAAAACCATCACGAGAAAATACTCTGGATATCGTTGTTACTGTAATTAAGCGTTTTGTCTAGAAGTCTCCAATCTTCTCCAGCATCTCTAAAAATGTCAAGTTAAATTGTCAGTGTCCAAATAGGGAGAAAATTGCAGGTCCTTTGCAGTTCCTTCCTGACATTTGGCAAATATTATTAACAATAAAGATTGCTTTTAAATCCTGGAAGCAAAAAGTTGTATAATGGGATTTTCTAATGGCTTCACTCAAACCATTCCCAACTAAGGCATACCTAGAAACAGAAAAAATAACCCCTTATATATTGTGTAAAGCTCTTAGTGCCTCATTGAATACCCCTTGAATGCCTTCTAGCAACTCCGTGCACTAATTCTGTAGCTTTCGAAGGCTTTGGTGCTAACTGCTCTACCAGTGACATTTTACAGAAGTCTGACCTCATATTTTGGAAGCATTTTGCCTCCAACAAGTCCTAGAAATGGCTAGTCCCAGTGACGGACTGAAGTGAAAGTAAGAGATCTTCTATTTCTTTTCTTAAAGATAAGACAAATTCAGGAATAATTTATGATCCGGAACTTAAGGCCAAGGGCTGGGACTTCTGCAATGTACTTTTGCCTAGCTGCATCCCTTTCTTCCTTTCCCTGTTTCCAACCCATTACAGGTTTATCTTTTGAACCCATTCTTATTAAATAATTAGCAAATGGCCAGCCTGCTCTGCTTCTAGAAGAATCTGACCTAAAATAGCCAATGATTTCAATACTACTTGTATGTAGAATCAATTGGGAAAATTTTTTCAAAAAATTATGATTGTAGCCTATAAAGTAATTAGGGTGAACTCCCAAAATTCATAGGTGTTATGTTCCTAGAGTACTTATGAATTGTGAAAAATTTCAAATTTCAAATATGGTCAGAAAAATGCCTATAAGTGCCTATTTTTATAATTTATACCCTAAATATGCTAGGTCTCCTGCAGTTATGTAATTTAATTTAATAAAATACTATATTAATAAAGCCTGAGAAGGAGTAGGTCATTTTGGTGGCCTCTTAAGGATCTTCAAGCTTTAAGAAGAACAAAACCAAGAACACTGAGATAGATCCATGCAGTACAGCTGTGGCAGACCAATTTATACTGGTCCCAGATCCCGATCCAGACACCACTCATGGAGAACCAGCCCACTCTGGTCATTCCTCATGCAAAGCACCACTTGTAGGGACCTAGTCCTGCTAGATTGTCACCCTTATCCAGTGGTGAATGAGGATGAAGGACAGATATAGAGTCAGTTTACCATGAGGGCACCAGGAGGCTCTTGTCTCTAGTAGGCAGAGGAGCCCTGAGAGTCTGGCTCATTGTGCTGTTATTCACTCAAACATAGGCACAAGCAATTAAAGTAACATAAGATTCATCTGCCTTCCATTATCCATTAGTACATGCCTAGGTAAACAATTGGATCTCAGTTGCATTTACTTTTCCCTAGTACCTGCAACCCACCGTCATCCCTGTGTGCTGCTTTTCTCCTTTATGCTCACAGAGGAAGCCAATTAGGCCTCAATTCTCCTTAACTGGTCTCCCTCAACAGCAACCTGTTATGATGTAGGAGTGCTAGTGAATCTGGTGGAGATGAGTTACAGGGTGATAGCCAATCAGCAGCAGGGAGAACTGAATAGGGCTCTTGGATTGGCTACTCAAAAACCTCCCATTGAAGAACAGTTGTACAGGATATTTGTGGTTTTGAAGAACAATTATCCATTAGGGTCTAAGGAAAAATCCATGAAGGACTGAGGCCCAGAACTCTGAAGAGTGACTTTGTGGGGGTATATTGTAAGTTGAAGTCTCAGCACTGGGGCCAAGGTATACATATAATTAAAAGCACACCAGATTATTTTAATGTTCCTTAGTGATTTTTATTATGTGGAGTCCACCTTCTTCAGTATTTTGGCTTCACCACTTCCAGGCCTTGGCCTTATCTCACATTTTTCCAGCATTTAAAAGGCCTTAGCAGAAATCCTATTAGGAGATGTTCCAGCTCAGAAAATCTTTTAGTCTGAAGTTCTGGCCCAGTTCAGACAGCAGAAGGATCCTGTATTCAGCAGTTTTTCATTGCTGGGACAAAACACCCGACACCCACAACTTGAAGGAGGAGAGGTTTATGCTGTCTCAGGGTTCAGAGGTTTCAGTCCATGGTCTATCGGCTCCAAGGCAGAGATATCCTGGCAGAAGGCAGTGGCAGAGAAATGCTTCTCACCCCATAGCATCTGGATGCACAGAGAACAGGAAGAGAGCTAGAAGGAAAGGGTCTTGGACAAGAATATCCCCTTGCAATTTACACCCCCAGTGACCTACTTCCTCCAGCCAGGTCTCCCAACAACACATGTAGATATGAACTCACCTCCAAATCTAATCACTGTTATGGTTGATACACTGTGTCAACTTGGGGAGTCTAGAGGTTTGGCTAAGTGACTCAGCAGGAAGCCAGGGTGCTTACTTTGTATACATCCTGAGCCTGTGGAAGAGGAGGGCATGGAGATTATGCGAGAGCTACACGCCCCTTAGGTGGGGGTAGCCTGTTTACAGTGTAAGGCAGGGAAAAGCAGCTGCTTGGCTCCATTCTTCCCTTTTGCTCTGGCTGCATTGCTGTTCGGCTGCCATTCCCCCCTTTGCTCTTGTTGCTTTGCTGTCTTCTGCCTCAGAGCCAGCCAAGTATGGACTGAAACCTCCACAAACTGTAAGCTAAATAAACCTTTCCTTCCTTCAATTTGGGCATTGGGTATTTTGTCTCAGCGAGAGAGAAGTAACCAAGACACAGTCTGTGGAGCAAGTCTTCCATGTCAGTTACCGTGTCCTCCTCGCTCTGAGGAGAGGAGAAACAACGTGGCAAACAATGCACAGTCACAGAGGGAGACAGAAAGAAGATGCAGAGGAAAACAGAACTCTGAAGGAGATATAAACAAAAACGGAAACTATACTATTTACAGTGCAGCAAACCAGGTGGCCCTTGAATAGCCAGGTTAGCACTCAGTGTCCTCCACAGAAAAACCATTGCTATTTGGTCACCCTGCTTTTCTCACAGGCACGTAGATATGGTTTCACTCTCATCCCCAACCCTCTGCTTCACTGCCCTTTATACTTCCAGTCCTAGAGATTAAAGTATCACATGTAGGAGAAATTCAGAAACATGTCACAGTAGAAAAGTAAATTAACCTGTACAAATTCCTTGATAATCAACCTGACTTCCTATAAACTTTGCTGTAACTTTAAAATGTGTATTTTTCTTGTTTGAAGAAGAACAACTGCCAAAAACTACAATCTCAGAACACTGATTTATTTAAGGTCAGGTAGTTGCCAAGACTTGAGCCCAAGTCTGAACCAAAGCCCACACTCCTTAACCTCTGAACACTGCTTTTGTTAGGGGAGACTGACAGGAGAATCACCAGAATCCTGGTGATTCTGGCTTAAAAACCAGTACCTTCATCAGGGTGGAAAAATATATTTAATTTCCCTTATTCTTACAGGTCAGAATAAAAGACAAAGTTTCATAGTAGGTGTTAAACTATGACCTCACTTTTATGTTCAACTTTCCTGTCTAACTCCCGGATCTACTGACTTTCAATGACCTACCATAGATTTCATCATTTCCTACTACTGGGTAGAGTCGAATCCCTACAATAAATCTTGTGTTTCATGTAAGCTATAATGGTTGTCTCCCTGATTGAACTCTGGCTGATACAGAAATTGAAACCATAAATGGTTCCATGACAATAGATCTCTAATTCTAAAATTATCTGATAGTGTCATGATGTGAAAAAGAGTTCTTTGAACTATTACCTGTATATATCTTGAAATTAAATATCCATAGAAGGTGAAGTCTTCCATGAAGTAATTGCTATCCATAAAGATTTACTGGAAATAAAGAAGCAGTATGAAACTGAATGTTTGCTTCTGAGTATGATGATGAGAAGACCGGCCTGTGTACTTCCTCAAAGGATAAACACCAGGTCTAGTGAAGGCTGGATTGACATTCATCACCCTTCTGGGTGACCAAGACCTCCAGACACATTATTTCCTAGAAAAAGTCCTAGTACTTTCCATGTCCATTTGCTATATGACTTGTTTCCCCACTGGATAACTAGTACCTATGCAATCATACTTGTATTCTTATTGGTTAATCCTAGCTATAACCCATATTGTACCCACGTGGGTATTGCTCTGTAAAATTTCCCTGTAAAGTGGTGTTCCCAGGCAACCCATTTGGGGCCCTTCCTGTTGCTTCGATGGAAACTTTCTACCCTCTCAATAAATATCTTCTTACTCTTAAGCTCTGTTGTTTCTAGAATTCATTCTTTGATTTTTAGGGAACATAAATTCAACATATAAGACATCTAACAGGTTGGAAGTTATAATATCTCCCTTATATCATATTTGGAAGTTCTGATATCAGCCCTGCAACACTATGGATGGCTGAGGAATACCTAGCCTCACAGGGTCACTTATGTTAATATTAGGCCATAAATTGGGAAGGAATAGGGCCTAAAAATTGAAGTGAAAATATGTAAGCAGTTTCTAGTGAGGCTGAAGTCCTTGAGTTTTTAAATACTATTGAGTTTTCTTTTCCAATAGAAGAAACCCTCACAGCCCTGTCTAAGGAGATTAGAATTCCCTAGCCTGAAGAAACTGTGATACCTTTCCCTAAGGTTCTTAATTTACAAGGGGCAGCTGGTTATCTTTAGGAGGTATCTCACACCTTCCGTTGCTTCTAGACGTATAACCAAACCCAAGTCCCTACAAGGCCCCAGCCCCTACAAAGCTACCAAGCATAACTTATAAGAAGATGAATACACCCCAAAAGAATTGTAAGTTTTTATCAACTTACATTGACATACCTAAGTAATATGTATGCCAATACATCCTAAAAGGTGTTGGATCAAGGAAGAAAAAACATTATAGTTCTACTGGAATTTATTGATTCAGGAGCACAGGTAAACTGCACAGATTGTGGAATTAGCACTCACTCAAGGGGATACATACAGCTCTACAAGGAGTTGGTTGTTATAAAAACAAAGGTAACTTACAGCAGATGAATTTAATGTTTCACAATCTCCTTGGTATGCTGACAAAGAGACCCAAAGACTTGGGAGAAATGGATTTACGAAGTAATACCTGTTCACATACCCTCTGCATGCTCAGCATGGTCCACAGGAGGATACATTTTTACTAAGGCTTTAAGAGGCATTGGAGAAGGATGCCCTACAAGAAGCTCCGTGGTAGCTATTCTCTACAGGTTAGCAATGAGGGGGAGAAATGCCCCCTGAAAACTGCTACCAGTCTCTGGATTCTGTGGGAATGACAAGACCCTACCAATTGGTGGCATTTAATCATAAAAGACAAAGGTATGGTATGCTAACAAAAGCCAAAATAGTAATCATAATAGTCCAACCCAAAGAAATTTTTAATATTTCCTTTGATAGTTGGGCATAATGCCTCTGGACCACAGTAGATTTTTACCTTCTGCGAATTTTTGTTGTAATTGTATTACCTGCTGCCTCTCTGGATGTAGTTTCTCTCTCCTTTGTCCAATTGCTGTAGCTGTAGAGTCTAACTGTAGAGGCAAAAGCTGCTTTTAGCAAGATTCCCTATTAATTTTTAAGAAAGTCGATCTTTTCCCCTCCTGGAAGTCACCTTTCCCTACAGCAAGAGTTTCGAAGTTAAGAAGCCCAGCTTTTCCCCAGAGCCTTGTGACCACTGAGTTTGCAAAAGCAGAAAGAGGCAACATCAGCACAATTTCCAGCGACTCAGAAGGACAAAGTACGAGGACTGAAGCATTAAACAAAATCGGCAACAAGAGACTCGCAAGAGAGTGAAGAGAGCTGTGAGAATGTTAGTACACGGGGACAGTATTTAGGCACGCCTAGAGTTCTGAAAAGGTGACTAACCCAACCATCACATAACTGCAAATGAGTGAAAACAATCTGCATTAAAAATAGGATGAACACAATTAACCGTATTACAAAATGGAAAGAAAATGTAGTTTAAACTAAACATGTCAAGTAATCTTTCATTTGCCAAATCCAATCCGTCAAATACTGTTACAAATGCAATCCTGTCTCTTTTCTCCTACCCTTTCACTATCTCCCCTACGTGCAGCCACCACTATCTCTTTCCTAGAAGCCACTTTAAAAGCATCTTTACATTTGCCTTTGTTTCTGGAGACTCTGTACTTGATATGCTGCTGCCCCCCAGTCTCCTTAGAAGGTCAGTAACAACATTCCTGAGCATTGCAGAGGTACCAGGTGAGGATGGAGGACACCGTGTGTGAGATAAACTGGGGTCTGTTTCCTCATCAAAGAAAACCCAGAAGTATGTGTGGATAAAAGACTGATTCATTTAGCTCTGCCTGATAGAGCACCCAGGAAGGTCTCCTTGGTCTCTCTGTTTTCATCCTTACCTCTGCCTGCTCCACTGCAGCAGCAGAGCAATGTATTCTAACTCTAATCAGGTCACTATCCCAGGCTGATTTAAGTTGCCTGCAATAGGATCTGGAGCTACTATGGCTTCTAATATTTCCAGGTGATTGTAACATGTAACTCAGGCTGGGCATCCACATCCTAGAGGTGTGAACCCCAATGGGGTAGGATGGGTCCTGAAACACTGCATTTCTACCTAACAAGCTTCCCTGAGCTGCTGGTGCTAAGCCAGATGCTGGAAAAGTAAAACCAACGCTTCGCTCTGGTAGGTCTGACCCTTGTCTGACACTCCCCGCCCAGGAACAATGCCTATTCTGCTGGGACATGGCACACCAACCCCACCTTAGGTCACAGGGCACCCACACAGAACATTAGCAGTTACTATGGCCGTGTACTCAGCTATTCTTGCTGCCCTGCCTAAGCCCATCCTACCACCACTCAGCTCTATAAATGATCCAGCTCAATAAACTCAATTTGGACTCTCCTTTGGAGTTACGCCGGGAGGACCCTCCTGGAACCCTAAATTTTGGCGGGCTGTATTTGTTACTGAGTTATCACTGTTTACGTAGCATCTAGTGCATAGTCGGTTTTATCCAGGTACAGTGCAACAAAATTTCATGCCTATTGGAGACTGGGTCTTCAGGGGACAGATTAAAATCTAACCACAATACACCTTTCTGTCTGATAGGCATCTAAAGCAGGGATTCTCAACCTTTTCATATGATTACCTTCCTTAGGAGCCTTGTAGACACATTTTCCTAATTGCACCCTTCTTCCATGTGTTCAATAAATGGTAGAACCTGCATAGGAATTAGTGGTTGTCCTCCACAACTTCACACTTCAGTTTGGATCTACTATACACAGCAATTTGATGTTCTAGTATGCCCGCCCAACTGACGTTGGATGATGTATCCCTTTTGGAAAAAGAAAGACACATCTTCCTGAGAACAAGGACATCTTAAGAGAGTCAAAGGATTCTTACTAGAGTGGAGTAGGGTGCTAAAATAGATTTATCAGCACAACCAAACATACAGCCTGCAGCCAGAGGCATTGCTATAATTTGTAGTCCCGGTGAAATCTCTTCAACTCATCTATACCCTTGATGATTTCTTTTTGGACAAGGATAAGCCTGGACACCCCTGATCTGATATACCGATCCTCATCCCAAATATCCATGGAAAACTTGGCTGGAGTTGCATTTCAAGAATCTTATCTAACCTAGCCACTGTCATCCTAGCTCGTCTCTTGACGTACCCTCCATTCTGTCTTAGTTATCTGTCTGTCTTAGTTTTCTATCTGCTTGGACAAAATACTGGACACCCACAAGTTAAGGAAAGAGAGGTTTATTTTGGCTTACAGTTTGTAGAGATTTCAGTCCCTAGTTGGCTGGCTCCAAGGCAGGGTGGCCTGGCAGAGGGGCATGGCAGAGGAGAAACAGTTCATGACATAACAGGCAAGAAGGATATATTCTCCCAGGCCCTGCCCACAGTGACCCACCTCTTCTTACCAGGCTTTTCCTCCCCACATCACACCCAGCTCTGAAACCACCAGTGGACTAATCCAGTGATGACTATCACACACCCATGATCCAGGTGCCTACCCAAAGTCCCACCTATGAGTGTGTGAGGCTTTGGGGAATAATTTAGATATAAACCACAATACATGCAAAAGTATAGGTCACCACTATCCTCTTCAGCAGAGACTCTCCATCCTCTAGGTTACATACCAGCTGACTGCACCCTTCCCTCGCAGTGTGTATTCCTAGTTTGCAAAGTTCCATTCAAAGCTGACTATATAATTCTTTTGTCCAGTGCCCAGACACAAGCAGAAAGAAGTCAGCTCTCATGCTTCTGGTTCATCCCTAAAGATATCACAATTGCCATCCTCCCATAAAAAGAAAGCCATTTCCTTCAAAGTGACAATTCTCCCTTCCCCAATTTCCAAGTCTCCATTCATCCTGGACTCACTTGACTGATTCCTGGGTTGGCTCAGTACCCAGCAGATCCAAAGCCTTCCAAAATACCCAAACACCTGTCACCTGTCCCCCACTGTATCAAAAACACTTGTCTTCCATCAGCCGTGTGATCTTCCTCCAGGCGACCTGCTCTCCTTGATCCTCAACTCCTTCACCTGTCAAATGGCAGAAGAGGAACCACCTCCCAGAGCTTCCGTGAGAGCCGGGACAATTAGAACATATTGGAGACTTAGCGGGAAGTCTGGCCCCCCATGGGCCTCTCGAGTAAAGCACGACCCAAAGAGATGGGGGTGCGGCATGAGGACAGGTGGTTTCACTGGGAGGAGAAATTGGTTCCTGCCTCTTCTTGAAATTTCAGGTTGCAGCTGAGGACTAGGTTGTATCATATTATAGTTGCACCTTATTACAAAAGAATTATTATTACTCTTTCCTGACTTGGACCCCTTCCCATATTAGATCCTATGATGGAGGCCAAAGGCCTGTTCAGTTCTACCACATAATGAGTCTACACTAACGATCACATTAAGCTGTGGGTTGCTTTAGGGCACCTTCAGGCCTCCTAGAACTCCTGCCAACACTTACTGTAGGAGTCACCCCATGCAGGACACATCAAGACCGAACTCAAGAACTACAAGCCTGCCTCTTTGACAGTTGCTTCTGCAACCAGCCTCTGAACTGCTGGCAGAACTACCTGGACTTTCCACCACAGCAAGAAGTCAGTGACCATGAAAAAGTATGACGCATGGTACTGGCATGTGTACAAATCCCTCTACCCTGTGTTCTCAGTCTCAATTGGTGGCAGAAGGGACATTTCCTAAGAAAATCAGAACTGGCTCCACGCCCACCTCTCCTCTGTCCTCTTCCCAGTATGGTGAAGGGGCATCTGGATACACAGTGATCCCTACCCTGGGGCCTTGAGTAATGGCTTAACTAACAGTAAGAGTTCATAAGGAAAAAATGAAAGAAAGAAGGAAGGGAAAAAATATATATATATATGTATGTATATAGAAGGATAGCTGGGATAACTGTACTGCTGATGTCTATTGTTTTATTGAAAGGAACAGTTAATGCTTAAATTTGTTTTACTAATTTTGCATGCTTATATCTGGTAATCTGAACAACTAATTTGAAGACAACAATATCCAATATAATAACCATTGGTGAATTTCTACCATCTTGTTTAGTGAAGCTCTGTATCATTTCTAATGTTTTGTAATTACTTTTTATTGCCTTTAATGATTTGATCAATCTTGCATTTTTACATCTGGTAATCTGAGCAACTTTGCTGAAGATAACAGCGTGTAATACAGCAACCACTGTTAATTCCTATCATCTTGTTTTCAAATCCCGCATTGTTTTTATTGTTTTTGTGTTGCTTTGTTTTTATCTATGTTGTTGTTATTTTTTTTTTACTGTCTTTAAAAAATTCTCCCACATAAGAGACCACATTTACTTTTAAATAATTTAGTATCACAACGAGAGAAACATTTAGAAAGGGAGATGATAAACAGGACCCTCTGATGCTGGCTTTCTTCTGTCTTGTGCTAATTGGCTTGGTTCCAGCTCGCAGCCCAGTGCCCTCCTCTGACTAGATGCAGGACACATTGAAGAGTGAATTCAAAATTTATGGAGCTCTGCAAACTCCTGGAGTGAAGTGTCCTGGAGAATGGAAGGGGCAGAGGCAGCAGGAGCTTCCAGCCAAGGTTTCCCCAGTGTCCTCTGCCCCCTTATGCCCTGCATGTCTGGCAATTTGAATGTAGACTAGACATTCCATCACTTTTAAAAGAACTTACACAAGAAGGGGTGTGGACTCTGATGCTGACAGAGTAGTTTAGACTACCGGACAGACTGTGTTTAGACTAGAGGCTGGAGAGGCATGCTCAAGAAGGATGAGTTAACACTGCATTTTTGAACCAGGAGGGAAATACGACTCTGGATGATGGAGATTTTAGCCAGTAGGCTCCACTTTTCAGAAAGATAAGGGGTGGGGGGTTACTGCAGTCATTTGGAATTGTATTTGTTTCCGTCTCTTTTAGGGAAAATATCAACTTCTCCATTATTTTTCCCTTCTACATCTTCTTTCTTTCCATTTCTTTAATTTTAAACTACTAATTCTCATCAAATACAACATCCTATACACCCCAAAATTAGAACTTCTATTCCATAAGTGGAATGTATTGAATTAACGAATGGTAAGGCAAATTGGAAGAGCTAGAACAGAAGTCTGTTAACATGTAGACAGCAGATTTACCAGAGCC